AGAATTGGCTAAATTCAAAGAATATTAAGTTCAATCCCGGTTATGTGAGAAAAGAACTGTATCATTTGTGTTCCCTTCATAAAGAGAAATGCAAAAAATATGAAATTGATGAAATTGCAAAAAATCGTGGGATGACGGTGGTTAGATCACCACCATATCATTGCGAAGTAAACCCGATTGAACTGATATAGGCACAGATAAAGGGAGAAGTTTCCATAAAAAATAATTCTTTTAAAATGAGTGATGTTAAACAGTTGTTTTTGGAGGCTGTAAATAATGTGAAGCTTGAAAACTGGGAAAAGGCAGTAAATCATACGATTAAAGAAGAAGAGAAAATGTGGAAGTTGGACAATATTACTGATGAAATGATCGAGCCACTTATTGTAAATATTGGTTACGACAGTTCATCTTCTGATTTCGATTCTGATTTGGATTTGTAGGTAAGAAGTAGTTTTTATATTAAAATTATTATTTATGAACGTAACGTTGTTTAAAAGTCAAAGTTTAAACCCTTATACCTACATAACCCGTTTGACACAATGTTCTTAACATACTTTGTGGAAAAATAAAACATTTTAGAAAAAATTGCACTTTTTACCTTCAGCTGTTTAGAAGTTATAAGCAGGTTAATTAGGTGAAAATATAAGTGTATACTCGAGGAATAACTTCAAAAAATATTTTAACAGTCTACTAAAAGAAGTGATACGCCTATGGATTACGAACGCTTTATTATTTTAATACTCTCTCATACATAAAAATAGACTATAACGGTAGTGTAACTAAGTAATTAGACTCTAAAGTACACTATATAGTGAGTAGAATCTTAGTTTATGAAGTTTTTCATCCCTAGATGAATTAGGTAAAAATAAAATTGTTAATTGATCTTAATTATTAGATTATAATTATCGTAAATGTTTCTTTACTTGGAGCATTAAAAAAAAAACCTAGTTATTTCAAATTAGTGCATTTAAAGGAAAAGGTGGAAATGAAACAATTCACTTCTATATTTTATGAAATATTCTTTAAAACATATTTATTTATTTGTTTGTTTAAGAATCAATGTTTAAGTTTTGTGTATTTTAAATAAACATGTATATTTTTAAATGTCTTTTTTTAGTCTAATAATATATTAGAAAAAAAACTAGAATACATTTCTGAAATATTACTATATAATAGTTCTAAAAGATTTCTAATTTTTATTTCATTTAGAGGATATTTTTACGTTTCAGGCATATTTCAGAAATGTTTTTGGGAAGTTTCGTAATATTTATACAACATTGGTAATGTTTCAATGTAACATTGTTGAAATATTTCCGAAATGTGTTTGTGCTGTATGGGATGATAACAAACGATCTGGTCGACCAAATATTAGTATAGATAAACAAATTGATATAGTTGCAGAAATTGTACTAAACCCTACTTCTTCTACAACCGAAGATGCGTCTACCTGTGAAGTTAGTTATAATACAGTACACAGGGTGTTGACCAAAATCAAATTTCACCCATTCACTTAAAAACCTATAACAATCAAATGACACATACATTAAAAGAAAACGTTGCACCAAATCTGTCATTACCGGGTAGTTATAGCTAGGTTTCAGACATTTGGATTGTATTAATTTTATCAACATCAAAATCTTATAGAAAAAATACCAAGAACTTACCTGTAAATTCATAAACTACTTTTTAGTAATCCTAAGACATTATTTAACAAAATGAGAGTATTTTATTTTTTTTTTGTTTGAATTCGAGTAAAATTCTTTTCGTTAGTGATTAAAATATTATGAACACTCTACGGTAAATATATACAAACATAGTTGCGTTAAAAAAAATAAATATACCTAGAGATATTTTCTAAAATAATATTTATCCTTTTCCTGTCTGTTTATGAATTTATGAGTTATAATAATTGCATGAACTATATTTTCATTCCGATAAAATTGTGTTTATTCACACGTACAGCTGAACCTTGAGGAAATGGAAATAAACATATTTATTTCCACTTTCAGTTACTCTTCGATGTTTACACAGGATAAGTACAATAACAGCATGTATGTGAATTATTTATGAGACTCGTCTAAAGATGGAAGATGAAAAAACATTTTTAAACTCTACAAAAAGTTAAGTGATATACTTGTTTACTTCTATAAAGAAAATGGTAAAAGCCATTGCGTGAGATCCTAAAAAAAGTATTTCTAAATTATGCCATTTTGTGATATTCTAATAGCAGCTTCATTATTAACTTGTAGTTCTGGAAGGCGAGTCAAATTTGTCAACTCGTAGAGAAGGTGTTTTGACCAACTATAGGATTTTACTCAAATTTAGATAGGACCACCCCTAAGGTACCACCTTACTAACAAAAAAAGAATCATACAAATTGGACAAGGTGGTAAAAAATTACCGCTAAAGATACATTAAAAATGAAGAGTTTGAGGATTTTCTAATGGACCCAATTATTAGATTTTGACCAAATGAATATAAGACCACCCCTGAAGTTCCTTATTTCTAACAAAGAAAGAACCATTGAAATCAGACACCGTGTTAAAGAATTATCGCTGAACATACAGGAAAAAAAATATTACGACGGATTGAAAACCTCCTCCTTTTTTTAAGTCGATTAAAAAATAAATCTCACCCTCTTAAAATGTGTATTTAATTTTTACAAATATTAAATTTACATTTTTAACAGATTAATTATTAATAGTTTATTAAACAAGTATATTAATAAGGGGAATAATGACCTGATATCAATAACTACTGTTTATTACATAAGTTATTTAACATTTTTTCGTTGTAGTTTGAAGTTTGGTAGTGACGGATTTAGATGATAGATTGTTTTGAATTGTAAAATTTTATGTTTCTCTGTTGGATTATATTTAAATCATTGACAAGGTGGGTAGCCATGTGTGAGTTGAGGTAATTTTAAGGTGAAGGGGGAGAAAAAGTCCTTTATATCTCACAAGGAAAGTCAATGTTTAATTATTTAACAAAACATTGAGTGCGACCGGTTTCGAAGTGTCATCACTTCATCTTCAGGCTCGCCTAGTAGAAAGGAGAATATGTGGTGTAAGGTGTGTTAACACTTAGAGCAAACGATATATAAAATAGTAAAAAAGAGAAAACTCACCATACTCTCCATCCACTAGGGAATACTACAAAACAAGTTTCATCAAATGTGGGGTGAAATAAATTGTAAAATGAACAAAGTTTACAAGTAATAAAAAGTTAAAAATATTTGAAAAAACAAATATTAGTCAATTGAAATAGTAAAAATTTAAATTATTCAAGACCATACAAAACAAATCACATACATTAAACAGATTAAAAGATAAGGCTTATTTTAAACAACCTTGTTGTTTTTTCAAAAAACTAACATTTTTGAAAGGAGACCTGTCAAGTTAAGGCCTCTACAGGTGGTGGCAAATATTAACAAAAAAATTCTTGGGTAAACCCATGACAGGGTATAGGTAATAAGATGTAAACCATGAGTGAAGACATATTTATTATTTATTATATAAGATTTGGGCCATGAACCAATCACCAAGTGTATGTGATGTAGGAAGAAGAAAGAAGAAGAAATGACTGGGTTAACTGTTGTGAAGCAACTGAAGAATAAAAGAAGAAAAGAAGAAAATGACGGATGTGAATATCACACAATCTAACCGAATCTTTAAACATGCTCGTTGGTTTCTTGTGGGAAAAAAAATTACTTACTGAAATGTACCCCTTGCAAGAAAATATGTGAATAGAAATAAAGGGGGAGGTTAAAAAGGAAGTTAGAACGATAAATTTAGATTAGTGTTGAGAAAACAGGAGGAGTTTCTGACATTATCTGGGCATTTAAGCAACCAACAGGATTTAATTTTAAATTTCTCAATATCTCGAGGCTTTCGAAGCTATTAAGAGTAAATCTATGGTAGGAACTATGTAGGATTTCGAAACCTTCAGTTGAATCGAAGTCGTGATTTGAGTCCAGTAGGTGGTTGGCAAAATGTGAAAAACCTGTTGTATTTTGGTTAAGACAACGCAAATGTTCTTTTAAACGGATCTTGAAATTTCGAAATGTGCGTTCCACATAGAAAGAATGGCAAGATTTACAAGTTAATTTATAAATTCCAGATAAGTCAAAGGGATCTAATTTATCTTTATTATGAACAAATAACTTATGTAATGAGGAGGGGGTTTTGAAAGATACTTTAAAGTGGTCTTTAAGTAAGCTTGCCACTTTATAGGATGCTTTTCCAATAAAGGTAAGAGAAATGTATTTCTTAGTGGTGGTTAGTTCATGTTAATAATAATAAATAATAAATATTTCTTCACTCATGGTTTACATCTTATTACCTATACCCTGTCATGGGTTTACCCAAGAATTTTTTTGTTAATACTTGCCACCACCTGTAGAGGCCTTAACTTGACAGGTCTCCTTTCAAAAATGTTAGTTTTTTGAAAAAACAACAAGGTTGTTTAAAATAAGCCTTATCTTTTAATCTGTTTAATGTATGTGATTTGTTTTTTATGGTCTTGAATATTTTAAATTTTTACTATTTCAATTGACTAATATTTGTTTTTTCAAATATTTTTAACTTTTTATTACTTGTAAACTTTGTTCATTTTACAATTTATTTCACCCCACATTTGATGAAACTTGTTTTGTAGTATTCCCTAGTGGATGGAGAGTATGGTGAGTTTTCTCTTTTTTACTATTTTATATATCGTTTGCTCTGAGTGTTAACACACCTTACACCACATATTCTCCTTTCCACTAGGCGAGCCTGAAGATGAAGTGATGACACTTCGAAACCGGTCGCACTCAATGTTTTGTTAAATAATTAAACATTGACTTTCCTTGTGAGATATAAAGGACTTTATCTCCCCCTTCACCTTAAAAAAAAAAAAAATATATTTAAATCGTTAATAGAAAAATAATGTATTAAATAAAACCATTAATTGATCCTTTAATTTAATATAAAAGAAACTTATCTTCTCTATCAATATTTTTTCTACAGAGTTGTCGTTTTATTTACAATTTGATGTTCTTTCAAGAAATCTCCAGCGAATTCAATAAGCACCAATTCATAGGTTACTATAGATCCAGCAATCTGAAATACAATAATAATTATAAACATATAAGACATTTGAAAATTTTCGGAAAATAATATAGGTGGTTACCTTGAGTAACATATTTCTTCGTAGTTGAAAAAAATTCATCCCAGAAAGCGCTAAAGTATCTCTAGCTATTTGACGTGTCAATCGTTTAATCTGAAAGAAAAATAAATTGAAATTAATTTTGATTTTTATTGTATGCAAATTAATTTAAAAATGAGTAACGCAAACTCTATAGATTTTGGTTCCATTATAATTTGTTTAAATCTAGATGGAAAAGCAATAACTGTTTATTTTTTGTTGTACCCTGTAATAGTATAAGAGCTGGCTGCGGAAGTTTAGAGAAAAGCAAGAGTTCTGGGACGTTTTTCAACTTTGCAAGAATGATCAATCGCCAGGAAGGTACAATTGAGGCGTGTCACTTCAAAGGAGTCTATATCCATTTTCGATGAAAAATGAGTCCACCGCTGTTTTAGCTACTGTGTAGCCCGGGGCATATAATAACTCTTAAATGTGCCAAAGTGGGCTTTATCCCGTTGAAAAATAATATCAAAATACCCATATCGCGGCAAAAGGTTCCATATTTAGAAATATGAACGCGTCAAACAGGCCTATATCCAATGAACCAATCAGATCTCTCAAAATCCCGCCCAAAGTTAATTCCTGTTGCTTCAGTTTAAATATGACAGTGTGTTTGTTGATGTTTATGATCAACAGCAATCAGTGGTAGTATTTTTAGTTTTGTGTTGTGTTTGTGTTTATTATTATTGTTAAGGGCACTATGAACGAAAGTATTACCCCAGCGGAACCGGGAAAAGCTAGATGGAAATGGAAAAAAACATGGAAAACCACGACGCAGATGATGAGTTTTGCGAGCGACATGCAGATGAGCATCTTGCTGATCGTGTGTAAAGCTTTGTTTGACCAAAAATCTTCGTTATCAGTTTTTTAGAGTTTAAATTATATTTTTGTAAGCAAGTTGCTAATTATTATTAGACAAAATAAAGATAATCTTTTTCATTGTACTTCGATTATTATTGTGTCAAATCAGCCTATATCCTCATACGATTGGCGCAAAAGTTCCTTTATCCACTTGGCTACAGCAAAAGGGTCTATATCCAAATTTTGAAGTTAATTTATAACTCTTCTTGGCATTTAACGTTTAGTTTCTTTTTGTATTTTGATATTATAGGTTTGTAAAAATAATTGTAAGAGGTTCTGTATCCATTACAACCACAAGATTTATGTTAAACAGTTTTTCGCGAATTTTGGAAAACTAGTGAGAGTGGATAAAGACCCTTTTGCAGTGACACGCCTCGTTTAAGATCTGAAAATGTTTAAAATTATAATTTGACTTTGATCACCTTTTAAAATAGTTCAAAAGGCCCCAGAAGAGAAAAAAAATTCTAAGAAAACATTTCCCAATCTAATTTAGTCTTGAAAAAATGACCAGACGACATAAAGGCACAATAAAGATGAAAATTTTGATTTTACACGTTGGGCGCCAAAGGACCCCGCAATAATCTTATGGAAATTGGGTTTCTGTCAAATTGTCTGAATTTTTGATATGTTGTAGATTTTGTCATCCTGAACAAAAGTCTTTATGGACACAAAGTGCTAGAATGATTATTTTGGCAGCTACGGGGCTGCCAAAGCTCCCCTGATCCGTTGCAAAACTATTCATTTTCAATACTATTTATAGATGTCAGAAGCATATTTTAATTATTCTAATATATAGGGTAATGTTTTTGAGGTCACTGGATTCAACGCTCATGTGAGATTGGACAAATTGACCATTGACAGCTGTCAATTCACTGTCAACGAGGAATATAAAAGTAAATATCCTCTTTTCACATTGAGAGTTTGGGTTTTTGAGGTCGCTGAATTCAATTCTCATGTCAGATTGGACAAATTAACCGTTGACAGCTGTCAATTCACGGTCAACGAGGAATATAAAAGTAAATATCTTCCTTTCACATTGAGAGTTTGAATTTTTGGGGTCGCTGAATTCAATTCTCATGTCAGATTGGACAAATTGACAGTTGACAGTTGTCAACTGGCAACGACCTCAAAAACCCAAACTCTCATTGTGAAAAGAGTATATTTACCTCAGAGTAAGTAAGTAGTAAAGAGAGGACAGTAAACAATTTTTGTGTCGCCATGATAATATGGTCGAGAATTCTAATTAGAGAGAAATAGACTAATATCTCTATCTCTTTGTTTGTATTTGTCAGTTTTACAGAGCTTTTCTTAGACAGTGTTTAATTTAAATTTGTTCGTGTTGTGGTGTTAAAAGTAATTGTTATTAATATTATATTCATAACAAAAAAGTCATATTTTGTTTTCACTTCATTAAAAATGCACCTACCTACCTTTTAAAACATTTTATTTTATATTCTAGTTGGTCAACAATATTCGCATTTAAAATGGCCCTGCGAAATTGTTTTACGGTACGCTACTGCTGAGAATTCTAAAACGAGTGAGAAAGCCTTCATTAGAAAGAGAGATACTGATTATATGATAGCGAGATTAATATTGTATAACTTTATGCAGTGGTGTCCTATCTGCTATTATATTATCTAAGATATTTACTTTTACATTCCTTGTTGACCGTGCATTGACAGCTGTCAACGGTCAATTTGTCCAATCTGACATGAAAGTTGAATCCAGTGACCTCAAAAACATTACCCTATATATTAGAATAATCAAAATATGCTTTCGACATCTGTAAATAGTATTAGGCATTCCAACGACCTGTCCAAATGGCTACAAGTGGGTAATGACAGTTTAGATATGGCAACCCTGTTGTCATGTTGTCATTAACAGGGTCAATAATACATATATAGTTATATAGATTGCTCAAAGCTGGTCGTTTACGAGCGGCCATATTGCCTGGCAAATATTTATTAATTTGAATCGGTTTAGCAAAAATGTGTTTTAAAACCAATTCTTAGCCTTTAGATATTTAAAAAAAAATAATTGCTTATATTTTTACTTCAAGGCATAAGCTTATGTTTATTTTGAAAAATATGGATGATCAATCTATGTAACTATATATTTCATTGACCTTGTTAAATCACCAGGCCTACAGGGTTGCCATAATTTTGTCATATCATAACCCGTCAGAACCCACTGGTAGCCATTCAGATTGGAATGCCTAATTGAAAATGAATAGTTCTGCAACGGGTCAGGGGAGCTTTGGCAGCTCCGTAGCTGCCAAAATATTCATTTTAGCACTTTGTGCCCATGGAGACAATTTGACAGAAACCCAATTTCCATAACATTATTGCGGGGTAATTTGCAACCTGCGCCTCGAGTCAAGATGATGGAGGGTTAAAGTTATAAAAGGAGAGGTTAATTTAATCTAGATCATGCCCGGTTTTCAGCCACGAGTGGCTGAGTAAAGAAAACAAAAGAAATAAAACACCTAAATAGGATTTCTTTGTTTAATACAACCCAAGATGCTTGTAACTATAGGCATGTGATTGGTTTATATTAATTGACTAAATAGTCGACTAATATGATTAAAACTATTTACAAAAACAGAAATAAATGGGGTCAACAGTATACTTTTGGTTAACAGCAAATATGAAAATATCTAAAGTTAAATGAACGACACTTGTACCATTAGCAATTTTGCCCTGGTGCAAAACGAGGGCAATTAATTAAATCGAGTCTACCGAAAGCTTAGAATTACTATTCTAAAACCAAAAGTAACGATGTTTGTACTAGATGCCTCAATAATATTCTAATGCTTTTTTTAATGAGAAAGCAAAGTGCAGAGTCACTGATGACAGGTAATAATAACATTATTATTCAACAGGTGTTACGAAATATGATTTGTTGAAGTCGAAAAGTGGTTTAATTGATTTAAAAATTTGTGTATGATTCTTAAATAAATATTTTTTATTCAGTAGTTCTATCGATGGGTCCTCAAGATTGTCCTGGTATTGCTATATTGCTGTTTTTTTGCTCCTGTTTTCCATTTTTATAAATGTTATATCAGTATTTTTAGTTAAGCGATAATTTTGAACAGGTGTGTATTTTTATCGCTTAAACTAAAAAAAATAAGTATAATCAATAAAAATCAATAATAAAATATAGCCAGGCAACAGTATTTACGGGAAAATGTATAAGAAGTTGCCTAAGTCTAATAAGTTGTCTTTAAATAATTAACATATTCTATCAAAATAAAAAATACCATTTAATAATAGCGGGAAGTTAAAATGTACAAACAGAAGGATTGTTATTTATATTTTCATTTTTGTTCGAAAGAAAACATAAAATGAATGATTAAAACTGGTTTTCTATCAGTAAGTCATAAAATTGCATTCCAGCCATATACAATAATTAAAGACATAAATCTAGTTCTTGCCGAACATTTAAGATTAAAGAGATGTTGAAGAACATCGTAAAATGCTAATTTATTGTTTACTCAAGACCTTTCAAGTTTTTGATGTCTACTGCTATTTCCAGTATTGTTGTTGTTATAACAAAAATAAAGGTAATTTGTCTTCTTATTGTACAGTTATCCATTTATTTCTTTGATTTAATTTACTTTTTTTTTGGTAATATTTTTACAATTTACAACTCAGCAATTCCGGTGGCTTATTGTATGGTTTTTACCTAGTTTCTTGAAAAATAGTAAAATAGTAAAATAGTTGATATGCCAAAATTACAAAATATCACCCTAAAATGAACGAATTGTCCGCAGCTAGCGCTAGTATCGCTTTTGCTTTCCCTTCCATGACTTCACACTGAGCGAATAAACTTCCATTGCATAGGAATAGAATGTGTTTGTATATGACAAAGATAAAACTCTTTAAGTGTGTAGCATATTATTACAGGAACACGTCAAAATCGAATGCTCACCTCTACATTATACGCAGAATCTCTAATGGCGTACAAATACGTCAAGGGTTTTCGACTTTCGTCATGAATTTTTGAACCAAAAATGCAAACTGCTACCGTCTTGGCCATTATAAAGAAAAATGAGTAATATAAATAGCTTTTTTGAATGTAGCTTTTATCCGCTTTCAAATTATGAAATAGGTTAATTAAAATAATTCCAAGGTTCCCAATAAAACATATCAAAATAGCTAAGCCAATTTTGGAGTTAATGTAATGGCATAGCAGTTCTAATCCGTTGTAGCCTTCTCTTAAATGTATCCAAACGTGTTCTGGAATGCCCTAAAAATTTTATTCATTAATAACGAACCATTGAACTACTGATAAATCCTTGGCCTCAAATATGAAGATTTAGGTAACTTAAAACACTTAATGATTATAATTTCAAAATGATTATAATCAATTTTTTATAACATTTGAGAGAAAGTTTAAGTAATATACTTTACATGCGTCACAATAGATCCATCAGGGTCACAGTGGAAGGCAATGAGATCATCTGAATTTCAACCTAAGTACTTTATAACTCAATACCCGAGGCATAAAACAGGATTAGACAAAATTTTTTTTATTATTTTTAATTATTCAATATTCTCCTCATAAATAGCGAACTCTTGTTTTATTGGCATAAAAATATTAATTTTCGTTAGTATGAATTTCAAGAAAAGGATTCTTTACAGTTATTCTATGGATCATTATTAATAAAACGTCTTGTATAGAACAACTTCACATTTCTCATTTCTAAAACAAAAATATAGTAGAGAAAATAAAACTTACATCACATGTAGCGACTTGCTGTATTTTTTTTGTAATCAACCTCATTCTTGAAGCTAGACATAAGCTTATTCCCATTATGAATAAATCTAGGAAAGTACCTGAAAACAGTACTTGTAGTTGAACGATCTAAAAATCATAATAATTGCTAAATAACATTGTAAGATATTAAATATATTAATATTGGTCAAGGTTGATAATATACGAACATTTTTCTCACTTGTTAGCCAAATGGTACCGTCACAGAATAGATGAACAATATAGAAAAGAAATAAAGAGAATAGATATCTCTGATCTTCAGTGCCACCATAGAGGTACCCCGGAAAAACTAGTGCACGCGAACCTACACCACAGCTTATACAATACAGCTAAAACACTCTCTTGGCGGCAACGGTTTGCGTCGATTTCGTCGCGCATCGCTTAAGCTCCGCCTTCGAAGGGAAAAGACGGTTTTGGCGTTCAGAATCGTACTTAGGTAAGGTGTTGAGTCGTGCGTATAATTTCGTTGATTGTATAATTTTGTGGAGCCTATAATTTCGTTGATTTTGTTTGAGGGAAAGGTACTGTTATTATTTTGGTGACTCTTTAGCTGTGAGTAGAATAATTAAAAAAAAAAGACATCATTCTGTTTGTGCAGTCAAAATCTGTTTTAATAAGGGTTATACCTACAAAAAAACATTCTTTAGTTTTCCCAAGGACCCAAACCGATAAGTACCACATTATAAAAAAATTTCATTGTTAAAAATATAATTTATACAGGGTGTCCCATTAGTGCGTTATTGTTCATTATTTTGTTGTAGACACGCAAGAAAGTTTTAAATAAAAGTTATATGAATTTGAAAAATACCTACATATTTTAAAAATATCTTTGGATATACAGGGTGTCACGTTTTTGCCTGGCAAATTAAAATGTATGTTTTTTAAATGGACCACCTTGTATTTTATTTTATGATGAAATTATTAACACCCTAAATTATTGTAAAGACGAATTGCTACAGAAAATTTTTATCAGGTATGTGTGTGGTTACCTTTTAACAAAAGCCTTGCGGATCCACTCCTGCGATACCTGTCTTAAATATAACAAAGATCACGTTGAATTAGATGATTTTTCTTTTTATTGCTTTTTAAAGGCATATGATAACGCAAATTCAGATACATTTGGAAATCTGCAACTGTCAAATGATGAATTTGTAGAACTAATATTCAATATTGAAAAGATATTTCAAAATAATTTTGAAGAATTGGCTACAAAAAATATAATTTGTACCACACTTTTAGAATTAATTAACCCAATACCCTTTAGTCATCCATGCTAACGTTTTCCAAAAGAATAACTTATTTTATTGTATGTTTAATCTCAATAACTAAAAAATATACTGACAATTAGTTTGACAGAATTGTCATTTATTTAAAATTTTAAAAATAATAGCAGTCGGTTGATTAAAATATGAACGGTATTTGGCGAATTTATTTTTTTTGCAGTGTTCTCACTACCTAGAATGGATATGAAATATATTCGTTCAATTGAAGGCAATAGCATACTTTTTCGTTTTGTAATCTGTGCATGGATATTAGCCAATCTACGCACATACTACAAAACGAAAAAGTATGTTATTGCGTTCAACTACGAATATATTTCATATCCATTTTAGGTAGTGAGAACACTTTAACAAAATTAAATCTACAAATCACAGTTCATATTTTGGTCACCCAACTCCTATTATTTAAAAATTTTTAAATAAGTGTTACGCCACTGTCGGGAATCCAAGTTCCCAACGCATCGAAGCGGCGTGAGAGGGCGCAGGTATCGGAGCTAGGCGCGAACTACGGTACCAGCGAGAAGGCGAGATAGCGGTGTGGCAGTTTGTACCTATTCGAGTTCCACAGTAGGCGTGTGTTACATTCAATTAATAATTTAAGGCGATTGGCGTTGTTATTATTTTTCGGTTAATAAAAGTGATTTATTCGGGTGTGGTGTGTTTTAATAATCCCGTAACATTTCAGAAGTGGTGATAGTGTTCCCCGTGTTGTGCGGAAAATCATTTTCAAAGGCGATATTGGCGTGATTTCCTGTACTCGTACCGGCGTTTGTGAAATTCCACGAATTTGTAGGCGATAGTGAACAATTTGAATTAAAACGGTGTTGTGGCGATTGGAGGCGATTGGAATAATCAATAAAAGAATCTGTAAGTACAATTTTTCATTATATTTTATCGATCGATCAATTTAGGTGCCGCTAACAAGCTTCAGCCTGTTGCCCTTCCGATTGGGTCCGATTGTCACCTAGCGATTTGATTACCACCAGGATTGGGTTGTAGGTGTCAGCGAGTGACTAGATCGTGGTGGATCGGGTCACGGCTAACACTCAGTATGTATTTTACTAATTTCTCTTGTTCTGTTCACAGGTAAGAATGTCGAAATCTAACGACGAAATGGATCTCGTAATCGACGAGCATGTCGACCTCGGTGACTCCCCGACATCCGACCGTAGGCACAGAAGGCGGTCTACATCCCCAAGGCGAGGCGGTGCCAGATCCGATTCGAGGCGAGGAGAGGACCTGTCCGGCATACCGGTGGAGACCCTGGTGAAGGCCCTATTGGCAGGAGGATTGTCGAAGGCGGTGGAGAGGATAGCCAAACAACAGGCGGCTCTAGTGGTGGGAGAAACGGTAGACCCTGCTACCCCAGGACCTTCTAGTCTGAGAACCGATGAGGTGAGCGGCGCTGGAGGACGAAGATCCATGTGGTTCGTGGCTGACATGGTCGAGCGATTCGACCCCGACGATGCGGATTCCAACATCGAGCGGTGGTTGATGAAGATTGACCAGATGGGAGAAATCCATGGATTGTCCCCCAATGAAAAATCCATATTGGCCCAATCCAAGCTGGAGGGATCGGCTAAACGTTGGTACCACCAGTTGGAAGACTACGACCTGACTTGGGACCAGTGGAAGGCGAAGTTGAGGACGACGTTCCCAAGAAGGCGAGACTTCGCCATCATGTTGGAGGAGCTGGCAGCCAGGCGGAAGATACCAGGTGAGACAATGACCACCTACTACCACACCAAGCTGGCCATGTGTGACCGCATCGGCGTCAGAGGAGAAAACGCCGTTTCCTGCATAATCCGTGGGTTACCAGAGAACCTGAGAGCCAATGCACAAGCGGCCAACTGCGACACTCCGGACAAGCTCTATAATAAATTTTTGGCAGGCCTGGAGAGCTACAGGGAGGATCACAAGGCGAGGAGGTCCGAACCGGCTGTCCAAAGGGTGGAGGAGCCCTTCCTGAAGCGCTGCTACAACTGCCAGAAATTTACGACCCATCTGAGCAGAGACTGTCCCCGTCCACCATCCATCATTTGCAGGGGCTGTGGCAAAGCAGGACATCGGCTTCCGGAGTGCAGGGCGGCGACCACCAGCGGCGACAGGAGTAATGCTCCCTCTGGGAGGCAGGTAAGATTGATTATCACTCCCTCTGATAGTTGTTTTAGGCATCTGGTGAAGGTGAACGGCCAAGATGTCAAAGCCTACTTGGACACTGGGAGTGAGCAGAACCTTATCTCCCTCTCTACGGTAAGACGGCTTGATCTAGACGTAGACGAAGGCGAAGGCGACGTCCAACTCTGTGGATTCGGCGGCGGAGCAGCAACCTCTCTGGGAGAAGTGTCATTCCAGATGACCCTTGTTGACGAGGTGCACACCGTGAAGGCGTTGGTAACTGACGACGAGATGGGCCGCATCGAGCTGCTTCTGGGCCAGCCAACCATCAATGGTCCAGGAATCACTATGGTGGTGAGGAATGGAAAGTCTTATCTGAGGAGGGACCCGGACATCAACGAGTTGATGAAGGAGATCTCCTTGGACGGCGAATCTACCAGACCGAAGGCGCTACTGGCGGAAGATGTGGTGTTGCAGCCCAATTCTGTCAGCAGGATTAAGGTGAGGGTGACAAATAGCGTTCCAGGCACCATCTATTTCCTGGAAAAGAAGTACTTCCCCCATAAAGTCTCCAATGTCCTTATTCCATCGGGGCTATTGAGAACCGGTCTGGAGGAGGTGAAGGTGGTTAACGACGGCGACGGCGAGATTGAATGGAGGAAAGGACGACTCATCGCACGAGTGGAGGCGTGCCAGCCGAGCGATGATGTAACAGGAGCGTCGGAGTCACAAGTGAGAAAGCTTTCCTTATCTAATAATAGTAGCTTAGACATTTCAGGTTTAAATGTAGGAGATATATCAGCGACATGTAGAAAACGTCTATGTTCCTTATTAAAGCGTAAATCTATGTGTTTTTCCACAGGTGAGGATGATATTGGGTTAACTAACTTAGGAAGCATGCAAATAAAATTAACTACTGACGTACCAGTATATTATAGGCCTTATAGGTTATCTCATCATGAACGAGAGCTGGTCAGGCAGAAGGTGGAGACTCTTTTGGAGGCGGGTGTGATACGAGAAAGTGAATCTGCTTATGCTAGTCCTATTGTGTTGATACCGAAGAAGTCTGGTGAGATAAGGATGTGTGTTGATTATAGGGCTTTAAATGCTGTCACTGTTAAGGACCGTTACCCACTACCTTTGATTTCGGATCAGCTTACCAAATTGGCGAATAAAACTCTCTTTACCATTTTAGATTTAGCTCAGGGGTTTCATCAGGTGCCAATGAATCCAGATTCGGTGGATAAAACAGCGTTTATCACACCGGATGGCCATTATGAGTATTTGCGAGTGCCATTTGGTCTTTCTAATTCACCAGCGGTGTTTCAGCGCATCATTGATAAGATGTTAGGTAAACTGAGATATGGCGAGGTGTTAGCTTACATCGATGATCTTTTGATACCAGCTGCAGGCGAAGAAGAGGGCTTAGCAATGCTAGAAATGGTTTTAGGGTTGATTGAACAAGCAGGTGTTAAGCTCAAACTGGAGAAATGTTCCTTCTTGCAAAATACTCTTGAATATTTAGGACACGAGGTGACTGGAGAAGGTATTCGTCCTGGAAGGCGTAAAATTCAAGCCGTTCAAGAATTTCCAATACCTAAGAATGTGCATGGTGTTAGACAGTTCATTGGTTTAGCTTCTTATTTTAGGAAATTCATTAGAAACTTTGCGGTGTTGGCGAAACCATTGACT